CCCAAAGTGGTCCATCTGGGCTGGAAGGGAACTAGGTTCATCGTCCAATATATACATAATAAAATCAGGTCTAAATGTTTTAGACGTTTTTACCCTTTTACTACGTCTCGGTTCTTCATCAGTACCCTCTGGTACAGAACCACTAACAGTTTCATACGTTCGTTTATTAGAACTAGATTCTGCTCTTTCCTTCAGAGGAAAAATATTCTCAAAGAATATAGCATTCCTTGACTCAATCGTGGTACCAACTGATACCTCTGGATTTTCTGATTTATGAACCAGAAATCTATATGCCGTACTATTATACGCATATCCAATAAATACACATGTATCGACCGTCTTTGGTCCGATTCTCATTTGTTTGGGTTCAGGTATTTATAAGACGGCTTACGATTTTTTCACATTTCATAAGGAGTCTCATCTTTCCTTTTAGGTAGTATTTTATTCAGGATATGATTTGCTGTTAAAACAGCTTCCCCCCACATATTCTGGGGTAGTCCCGAATTTATAAACATGACATTCATCATTTCTTTTAACGTACGGTTCTTGCGTTCAGCAACACCATTTGACTGTGGAGAATAAGGGGCCGTCGTTTGATGAATTATGCCATATTCAGAACATATTTGTTCAAAAAGAGCTACATACTCCCCACCCCTATCACTTCGGATTATTTTAATCCTTTTGCCAAGTTGATTTTCAACTTCGATCTTATAAATCTTAAAAGCTTCCACAGCCTCGTCTTTGCTTCTTAATAAATATAAGTAGCAAAACCTTGTGCAATCATCGATAAAAGTAATAAAATACTTTTTACCCGTTCTTGTTTGCACACTTTTCATATCACATACATCAGTATGGATCAAGCCTAATGGTTCAGTACTCCTTTCCACCGAGTGAAAAGGCAACTTAGTCATTTTTGCTTCAATACAAATTTCACATTTATTATGTGATTCAATTTTAGAATTAGGAATTAATTCTAAATTCATCAACCGTTTAATTGCATTTAGATTTTCATGTCCCAATCTAATATGCCACAAATCAGAGTACTCAACGGTATAAACAGAAATAGGCTTTTCATTCTTATTGAAAACAGTTACACGGCTCACGGCCATTACATTCAATTTGAACAAACCCTTGTCGAGATAGCCACGACCAAGGAATGTTCCAAACTTGCTAAGAACAAATTTCTTAGCATAAAAAACCAGTCTAAATCCATGCTCAACAAGAAGAGATTCAGAGATCAAATTCTTGCAGATGTCTGGGACATGCAGAACATCCTTAAGCTTCAACTCCTTTCCAGAAGTCAGCTTCAGCACCACAGTGCCCACTCCAGCCACATCAGCCGTGGAGGAGTTTGCCATGTAAAGTTTCCGACTTTTAGCAGAAGTGTATTCAGAGAACACCTCCTTATCGGAACACACATGACGAGTGGCACCAGTATCGATGTACCACTCCCTTGGGTTATCCACCGTATTGGCTTCAAACACCACAGTCGATATATCAAAGTCGGTCAGTTCACCCGACACAGGGCCGTGTTCAGCCACAAAGGCACTAGGTTGCCCTTTCTTTGGCCCAACCTTCTTTGACCTCTTGCGGTCTTTAGCCATATGGTTCTGCTTTCCACAGTTATAGCAAGTGCCGGTAAACTTCCAAACCTTTTTTGGTTGTTTCCCTTTGTCAAGGGTCTTCCTCTTGCTCGAGTTGCCTTGCTCCAGCAAATTAGCACGAGCCTCCATCATCTGAGCTTTTCCAGATGAATTACGATTGTCTTCCTCAATACGAAGACGAACAACCAGGTCATCAAGACTCATCTCCTTCCACTTATGTTTGAGGTAGTCCAACCCGGCGGCAGCTTTTCAATCACAACCGCAATTTGGAATGACTCGCTCAGAAACATTCCCTCAGCATGAATATCCTGCAAGATAAGTTGAAACTCTTGCACTTGGGACATGACGGTCTTTGAGTCGACCATCTTGAAGTCAAGAAACTTGCCGACGACGAATTTCTTCGCCAGGGCATCCTCAGTCTTGTACTTCTTCTCCAAATTAGCCCAAAGCTCTTTGGCAGAACCAACCGAGCTGTACACATTGTACAACTCATTACTAAGTCCGTTCAGGACATAATTACGGCAAAAGTAATCACCTTGACCCCAAGCCTCGTACGCAGTGCATAGTTCAGCATTGGTTTCATTTTCAGCAATGACCGGGGGGTCGTCCTTCAGGTATTTCACCAAACCCAAAGTGGTCTGGTAAAAATGCATCTTTTGTTGTCACCTTCTAAAATCAAACCCATTGAAATTTTCGGGCTTCTCAGCAGTAGGGACATGGACAACAGGTACATGATTGATCGAATGCTGAGTGTTGGAATCATTTCCGGTGGAAGCCATCAGTCCAGTAGGTTGAGTTGATAATTCTTCTTGCGATTGTTAGAAATCGGGTGTCAAAATTACACGGGAATCCTACGAACTGATACGTATTTTTCAGTTCTTACAAATAATCTATTAATATAAAATTACAATTGAACTGAAAAATAAATTACAACTGAAGAATAAATTAAATCTTAAAAAAAACGGAAAGAAGCCGAGGCGAGTAAAACTCTTTCTTTTCTCCGCGTCTTTTCTCTTCCTTAGAATATCTATATTTATAGATGAGGAATCCAACATCATATTAAATCAAGTAGTTGGGTATATGTGGTGATGGTGATTGAGAGAATAAGAATAAGAATCAATTTGCTGTGGTTGGCAGCATAAGAATAAGGATCAATTTGTTGGAATATTTGGTATGATAGTTAAAAGTGGTTGTCCGAATTAATTACACTCACAATTACAACACAACGTGATGCCCATATAAACATTATTATATATATCCCAATCCACCGAATTTATTAACTTAATGAATAAATCTCACTAAACATACACCGAACTTACGTGAACGTGATCATTACTATATTAAGATTAAGAGGACAAATTGAGATCTTGTATTTGTTCAAAAAGTATGATGTATTTATTTACCTAACAATTAGGCCTTCTTATAATAGAACTGTAATAATCTTTGGTTTAGATCCTTTTATCAAATATAATATATCTGAGCAGATGTTTCTCCTTCTCCCATTTAAGATTTTTGTAACACATTGAAAAAGTGTGAAATTTAGATAAGACCCAAATTAAATGCCTGCCTAGCTATAAAGCTCATTTCAATGGATATTGGCAACATTAGTTCGTAACCATCATCAATGTAAAAAAGTGCCTTATATAAGCATCTTAATGCTCTTCTACATACCTTATCTTCAGCTATGTCCAAACCAAAAATTATGTTTTTGTTATTCACTTTGTTCTTCTCTTTTGTCATAGGTTGTTAATCGTTTCTTGATGTAGTAAAACTATAGACTGCAACAAATTTCGATCTTTCGATTGGTTATATTTTATTAACTATTCACTACAAAAAAAATTGTCAAATTCCAATAGAAAATCTTACGAAATTCCAACGGATATTCTAACGGAAATTCAACAAAAATATACTGTTTGACTGAATTTTTCATTGGAATTTGATGATTCCAATAATTATTTTTCCAATAGTTTTTACCCAAGAAATTTTCGTGGAATATGCAATTTCCATTAAAATTTTTATTTCCATCTAAAAATTCTACAATTTGAATCGTCAAAATACAACGGAAATTCCAATGGAAAACTCATTCTACTGATTTTTCTTTTTGTTGGAATTTTCCTTGGAATTCATTGAAAAATTTTAACGGAAATAACAACATTGAAATATCCATTGAAATTTGTCGTTTTTCAGCGTTTTCTTGCAGAGATTGCTATAACACGACAAAATTTTGACGCCCGTTTTTCTTGATTCCAGTACAGGTCAGCAGCCTCCGGCTCCCACTTCTCAAGTATGCATTTATTATATTGGATGTGTCGTGAATATAACGACGTGCCAATCACAGTGCACACAACAATTTCAGGGTCGATCAATATGCATCGAAGGTGATGATCCACGGGTGACTTTGTTATCCGATTTTCCGGCAAAAGCTGCCGGAAAAAGGAAATGTTGCCAGTGCAAATGCCGATTTGTTAAGAAGCCGGGGAAGATATGTCCTCGGCATAAGTTGGCAATAGCCTCAACCAATTCCTGAAAATTAATAAATGTGTGATGAAAATTGGTGATGACTGATGATAAATTTGTTGGGTACTTGGGTTTACAAAGCAGACGAATTTATACTAGTTATATTATTGCGAATAAACTCGAATTATGACTCAAAATCACCAATTTTTTTTGAGTTTATTGGCCATGATATATCCTAACTAGAACCGTATTATTTGGCTTGTTCTTTTATATTTTGAAATCATGAATTAATAACTTTTAACAATAATTTTGTTCAAATGTTCCTAATAGTGATGGATTCAACACGCCATTTAAATATTTCGTACATGTGTTGAGCTTAATTTTTCTTTATTTTTCCATTAATATCTGATATGTTCTTAATTAATTTAAATTCACATAGAGTTCCATAGAATTCCAAATAAAATTCCACAAAACTCTGCACAAATGTAATTTCGTAAATAAATAAATAAATAAAATTCCATTTTAGGGAAATTCCCCTATATGATGTTTATAAATACTAATGGCAATGGCTAAGTAATTTATTTTAAGGAGGGCTTGAAAATTTGGGATTGGTTATTGTGTGTGTGTTTTTTTTTTTTCTCAAGAAAAAGAAGAAGAAGAAGAAGAAATAAAAGATCCATCGCCACATTATTAATAACAGACAATGCAATTTATCCTTCAATTAATCAAATTATCAATAAATACGGAGATAATTATTTAAATAAAATACATTATATACATGTAGAGGACGAGCGATGGAGATATACACCATAAGCAAAAAATATGCTCCATCACATAAAGAACCCATTTTAGGCAAAGGCCAACAAGTTTCAGTTAATTCATGAATATGCACTATATAAGTAACAAAAAAATAAAAACCAAAAAACACAAGCATTAACACACAAACATATATAACAAACCCTTTTGAAAAGTGATCAAGTGTGGTTCTTTAGGGTAATTTTATCTTCATCAACAAAAGCATAATAATGCAATTGTATACACATTGTTGATATTGTTCACATGATGTTCTCATCTCCTTTATATTTTCTTTCATTTTTTTTTCATAATATTAAGCAGATTTCGATGTTTGATTTATAGTTATGAATCATGATGCATATGTTATGTGTTTATGATGTGATTTATGGGGAATTTTTTTAAAACATAACTCTAGGGTTATATTACAAGTAATTCAATTGAAATTCGACTGATTATTTCTGTATTTTCTAAAATTCGACCAATTTGAGAACTATGTAGATGAAAATCTGAATGCTTTGATTTTTTATTTTTTTTATTTTTTTTTTTCTAATTCAGCAGATTATGGCATGTTAAGTTCTAGTCGGAAACAATATTTAGAAATTTCATTAAAAAAGTGACATGCTATAAAATTTTGGATCAATATTCAAATTTTGGAGCCAAAATTGTCACCAACTTGGTTAATATTTAAAATTACAGCCNTACTATTGTCAATGTTTTAGAATGGAAAAATACATTCGAACCATGGCTAATCACTTGATTAAGCCAGTGACTATTTCCTTAATTGTTGTGATGAGTATTAATCATCAATTAGTCCATGCCCAATATGCCGAAAATCCCAATGGAATTAGCATCACCAATGTGGCAAATGCAGAGGCAAAGGGAGCAGGTTTCAATTAATTTATTAATAAGGGTAAAATAAAGGTTGCAATTTATAGTTTATTTGGTTAACTTATAAGTTTTCTATATTCAAATAAAGACGAGCTTTTTTAAAAAGTTTGAGTTTATCTCATAAGTTACTTTAGGTAGCTATTCAAATAAGCTAATTAAAATTTTTATTTCAACTACCTTATCAGCTAACTTTACCAAACAATTTTATCATATAAGCTATATTTTCAGCTATAAGTCATAAGCTATAAGCTTAAAAATTACATATCAGCTATCAGCTAGCTTATCAACTAGTTTTACCAAACATAGTCGTATTATACGTGTTTTTTGACTTTGTAATGTGTAATTTTTTTTTGGTAAAATGCAACATGAACTTCATGAACGTTGCAATCTCTCGTACATCTTCATCATACAATTAACCGAAAAAAATTGAACACGTGTATATATGGCCAAGATGAAGGAGATGTTGCAAATTATGAATGTTCGTTAAGTTTAGATTGCATTTTACCGAGAAAACACATATACAACAAGTTGTGAATTAGCCAAATTGTAATTAATTTGGCTATTACACTAATTAATTAATATATTTCTATTCATTAAGTAATAATACTTAGTTTCTCATCTTGTCTTTTGTAGTTTGTAATGATGGAAGTCCAGCAGCTTACTATTATGATCCAGGATTTGGAGATGGAGCCAACAGTTGGGTTGTTTTTATGAAAGTGAGCTAACACAAACATATCAAATAATGCTTCAAAGACCATATCGTATAATATATAGTTCTTTTTATTTATTTTTATGATATATATATATATATAAATATTTTTTTTTTCTTTTAGGTTTTGATTGCAGGGTGGAGGTTGGTGTGGCTCAGATAGTCTTTGCAGAACAAGGCTCGATCAATTTATGGGCAGCAGTGCGCATAATGAAAAAATAACGACTTTTGGACAAATACATAGCAGAAACGCAACGGAAAATCCAGGTAATTGTTATATAACAGAAAAACCATATAAACGAATTCGCGCAACATGTCTCGAGTTCAAATACTTGTGTTATATGCGGATCGAGGATTGTTTCTTTGGTTGGGGCATCAATAAAAAGCTATGCAAAAATATAAGAGAAAAAATTTCAACGATGCATTGAAATTAGGCTAAATTGCAATTTTAGTCTTGTATTTTAAATTTTTAAGTCTTGTATAATAATAATTTAAGTCTTGTATTTTAAATTTTTCTGCAATTTTAGTCATTTTAACTGTCAAAATTGGTCATATTGACGTGCATCAAAATTTTAAATTACGAGACGTAAATTGCTAATCAAATCCATCTCTTGTAAATCAAGAATTGTGATGACCGAACATCGAAATTGCAGCAAAAGTTTAAGTTACAAGACTTAAAACGTTATATGTAACTCCAATTAGACCTAAATTGATACCTTCATAATATTAATATATAATAGGACCAACTTTTCAATTTAGCCTTGAAATTATACTAGAAATAGTTGTAAAAAAAACATATCAAAATTCACGAACATTGTCCAAATAGTCGGAGTTGTTGAGTTATCATATTTGAAAAACGACACACAGTTGATCTTTCATACTATTCTCCTTAAATAAATAAATATATAATCTTACTAATCAATGATTTTATTTGTGTGTTTGAACATTCTCAGATTTCTACAATTGGAACAGAGTTATGGTAGTGTATTGTGATAGTTCATCGTTCATGGGTACCGTTGATCACAACAGTTCGATCCCGGGAACTGTTGATCAGAACGGTAAAGACAATCGCGTAAGACTTATATATAATCAGACATACATCTATTTTTCTACCTTATGCTGGATATTTTTAATTTCATACGATCAACTTATTTATAAAAAATTAATAATTTAATTCTATTTTTTTAATTTCTCTTGTAGAGCATCTTAGGTAGGGGTGCCCTGATTTTTGATGTTGTAATGGAAGAATTGCTACAAAAGGGAATGGCCAATGCAACCAATGTAAGTCAAAATATGACTATATATTTTAAATACTGCACATATATAGAAAATATTGGAGATTTAGTCTTTTAATTGATATCAAATTGAGAAATAGTCTGGTGGTTGTCTTAATTTTACTAAACACCATGTAATTGCAAAAAAAATTGACTTTTAGTCCTTCCACCTGCAAAAGCCAGTCAATTTGACAGAATGTTGAGTTGGATATATTAGTCGTCTGTCACGTGTACG